ACCCAGCAATCCCCCTACTGGGCATATACCCAGAAGAGGCAAGAAACAAACGACGGCCAGACATCTGTGCTCCAATGTTCATTGCGGCATAGTTCATAATCGCAAGGAGTTGGAAACAACCCAAATTTCCATCAACAGAATGGATTAAAAAACTGTGGTACATACATACAGTGGAGTACTATGCATCACTAAAAAGCAGTGATGAACGCATGAAGCATAAGGCCACATGGGAAGAACTGGAGGAAATTATGCTAAGTGAAGTAAGCCAAGCACAAATAGACAAGTATAACATGAGTCTGCTGAGGTAAGTTTATATATATGTAAAAATAAAGAACAGAAAGGTAAATGCAAAAGATGGCAAGCGCCAGACCAAATCCAGGGGTACATAATTGGCAGCCAACTAAAAACGGGGAGGGGGGAGGAAAAGGGAAAGAAAAAAAAATGATGTGTGGTGGTGGATTAGGCCACTGACCCACCCAAGGGGAGGGTATCGTTTGTGTCTTCACGGGGAAAGAGGGACCAGATTTAAGGCCAGTGCCAGACAAATGCAGCTTGCTGGCAAGGAGTGGGGAGCCAGTGGAGGGGCCTGAGGGCTCGGCCCCCATACCAGCTACTTGGACAACTGCTCCTCTCCCCAGAAAAATTTGCTTTAGAGGACGGCACTGAAGCTGCAGCTAGGGGAGAGGGGCACGTCTGATCAGAGCACATGGGAGCAAATGAAGGGGGAGGGGGAGAGAGAGGAGCTCATCCTGGCCCACTCGGTTGGGAGAATGACATCCCCGCTCTGAACAGTCAATGGATAGAGTGGACAATATGGCTGATCCCACCATGAGACACGCCGTCCCTTGATGGCCCCAGGCTTAAAGGGGACAACACTGGAGACTCAGTGTCAGGACTGGCCCAGACTGACCCGGTGACACCGAGGCAAACCACTAAAAGCGTGAGGCAGAGCAACCGTGGGAGCATAGCAGGGAGCCCCTGAGGGAGTACAACGACAGACTCTGGGGCCAGAGCATGGTACCCATCAGTCCTGACTGAAGGATACGCCTAGAGATCAAAAATCAGACCCTGATCTATTTACAGATTTTTCTTTCTTTTAAAATTAATTTATTCTTCTATGGGTAATTGATTTTCTTTTTTGTTGTCATCGCTGTGTTCTCACTTATATCGCCTATCTTGCTATGGCTTGATTTTTGGTGTATATTATTATCTCTACAGACCTATCTAGATAAAATAGACTAGATGAGTACTCTGGAGGAGAAAACAATGGTACCAATGATTCGGGGGTGGGGTTGGGGTGGGGACACAGGAGAGGGGGAGGCGGGGGTAAGGTAGTGGTGCTGACCAACTCAGAGACAGGGGAGCAACAAGTGATCTGAAATCAGTGACAAGAAGGGTGTGAGAGGCCTGGTAGGGATTCAGCAAGGGCAATGTAACCGAGAGAAATTACTGAAACCCAAATGAAGGCTGAGCATGATAGTGGGACAAGAGGAAAGTAAAAGGAAACAGAGGAAAGAACTAGGTGACAAAGGGTATTTATAGAGGTTCTAAGACTGGAATGTACATATGTAAACATATTTATATAAGAGTGTGGGGAAACAGATCTACCTGTATATGGTTTAGTAGTAAGGCAGCCGATGGACATGGGGCCTCCACTCAAGCACTTACTCAATGCAAGAACACGTCGTTCTATTAAACTGGCATTCCAGGATGCACACCTTCCTGACATGATTGCTGAAGAAAAATGTGTGCATAAGAAAAGTGGTGCCCAGATATCAAAAGATATAGTGTCTGGGGTCTTAAAGGCTTGAAGATAAACAAGCGGCCACCTAGCTCATAAGCATCAAAGCCCACATGGAAGAAGCACACCAGCCTGTCTGACCACAAGCTGTTGAAGGGATCAGGTATCAAGTATCAAAGAACAAAACATCTTACCATTGTAAACATGGGTGAGTAAAGAGTGGAGACTCAAAGCCCATCAGTAGGCAACCGGACACCCCCTTTACTGAAGGGTTGTGGGGAGGAGATGAGCCAGTCAGGATACAGGGTAGCAATGATGAAACATATAACTTTCCTCTAGTTCTTAAATGCTTCCTACCCCAACTTTCATGATCCCAATTCTACCTTACAAATCTGGACACCCCCCTTACTGAAGGGTTGTGGGGAGGAGATGAGCCAGTCAGGATACAGGGTAGCAATGATGAAACATATAACTTTCCTCTAGTTCTTAAATGCTCCCCTCCCCCACTATCATGATCCCAATTCTACTCTACAAATCTGGCTAGTCCAGAGGATACAGATAGCAACGGGAAACACAGGGAAACCAGGACAGATGACTCCTTCAGGACCAGTGGTGAGAGTGGCAATGCCTGGAGAGTGGAGAGAATATGTGGTGGAAAGGGGGAACCAATTACAAGTATTTACCTATAGCCTCGTCCCTGGGGGATGGACAGCAGAGAAGAGGGCGGGGGGAGACGTCAGACAGTATGGCAAAATAATAATAATTTATGAAGGGTTCATGAGGGAGGG